CTGTTTATTCCCTCATCATTCCCTGCAACTGGAAGGATAGAGGCGTACGCTACTTGTGCTCCTGATCCCTTAACCAGTCGTCCCAAGGCCCTGGTGTCTCTCTTGATTGCCCTCGGGCTTCTTGTTGCAACCTCATCGTTCTTCTGTTGCCATTTTAGATTCTAGCAATGAAATACGCCTTGAATATTTATCTCTCCATATGTTAACAGTATAGTCAGCTTTGGAGTAAGACCAGTATCTGCTCTAGTGGAGAATCCGCAGGGATTTCCTCAGCATCACATTTATCTGCTCACGCAAAGTGTTGGCTGCGCTGCCTTCTTTCCAATACTGAGTTAGGTCTTCCTTGGTCATACCTTTGTCTGGTGTAAATCTGTTGTTACAGGAGTGCTGGTACAACCTGGTGAGGATCCTGCTGAGGATCACTACCATTACCGCTGTTTTCCCGCACCCAAGAGCTGATCTGCCAGCATGCATCAAAGCGAGATGCTTTTTCTGGAGGAGGGGCCGTGTCAGTTTAATTGGGCTGGAAAGCAGCATCCTTTCCAGAGCTTAATAAAAATTAAAAAGAGAACCAACTTATTGCTACCTCCAGGATTGGAAATCAGGGCAATAGTTCTCACTTGAGCTGAAATTAGTTGAGCAGAGAGCATTATAGTTATATATACTCAGGTATTTGTACATGTGCACATGCTTGTTTGTATTCCACTATTAGGAAGCAAAATAACAGTATTTCCCACTAATGCATTTGACAGTCTAAGACAACATCTCATTGTTACTGAGCAACTTTGAATGGTGGTGAGCTCTTCCAAATTAACCCCTTTGGGTGTCTTTACTGTTAGAAAACAGGCAGAACTTCATTCAACTGGTCTGCCTTTGGACAAGTGGTATCAGCTGGCTGTCTTGCTGCTCACCTGTAGAGACGTATGAATCTTCTGTCTTGTGGGATCTTTCCTGATGTTGCTTTTATGTCTCTCTGGCCAGAGGGTGAGGAAGAGGAAGAGGATGAAGAGGAGGAGGAAGAAGAAGAGGAGGAAGAGGAAGATGAGGAGGACAAAGACATAGATTCGATGGATGAAAGCATGGAGGGTGACACTGAGCTGCCAGGTTTCACGCTTCCAGGAGAGACCTCTCAGGAGCCCATAGCTGGCCTGGAAAACCCTGTGGCCCAGCTGGCCGGGGTGTCCTACCAGGTTCCCGACACCATCGAGTGGGAGCAGCAGAACCAGGGTCTGGGTAAGAGAAAAAGCCCCTTCTTTTATCCTTACAGAGGACGTCTCCTGCTCTTGACTTTGCATGGGACAGCCCCTCGTGCCAGGGAGTCTCACGGGTTGGCTCTCAAGCTAAACACAGAGCAGGTTCATTTCCGAGGAAACCCCATTCCCCAGTGACGACCGGTTGAACTGGAATGGGTCCCAGGCAGCGTGACCTGAGTTTTCATTTTGGGGAGAGCTGCTCTGAATACTCCAGACCTGCTCCTTCATTCCCAGAGCTTAGTGTTGCCCTGCTCTGAGGGTGGGCAAATAAATACTTCTCAGGTGAGGGGAAATTTCAGATTGAGTTTACATCAGGTCTGATATCTCCATCCCACTAACTCTTGCTTGAAAAACAGCGTATTGGCTGGTTTCCATGTCAGATCTGTTTCACGTGTCCTGTTATCCCATCAGGCTGGACAGGAGCTGTGGGGGGGGAATAATTATAAGTGATTGTGATTTGTGATTGGCTTTGGCAAGCTGGATTAAAGAAGTACCTGACAGTGCTTGGAGGAAAAGTGTGTAAGAAGCATAGGGTTATGATGGGAGTCGCATCAGCAGCTTTGTGTTCACATCTTACTCATTTCCTTGGTGCAGGATCTTTGTGGTGCCTCGAGAGAAAACGTGAGAGGAGCAGCATATTTTCTGCACTCAGGGGTGCAATGGGCTGGCTTGGTGAGCTCTGTACAACTGCTTGCAATAGTGAGAAGGTAGCATTAAGCTGCTGGCCATCTAAAGCTATTTGCCTGGTTCGGGACCGTAAGTACCAGGATGGATGGCTTGGCAGAACTTTGCCTCTGAATCAGTCAATCCTGGCTAAGGGTGCCAGTGCTTCGTAAAGTGTTCAAGAGAGGCAGCATTTTGCAAACTCCAAGGTGTGTCCCCACACACCAGGCATCACGTCGTGCAGCATGGAGGAAGATGGCACTGATATCTCTTCAGGAATCTTGGTACATTTAACCGACCCAGCTAGGGTGGCTGATGCAACGTCATCTGGCTTGGGTCTCTGGAGGGCTCTGATGGGAGCCCTGTTCCCAGAGCAGGGTGCAAGGCAACGGTTAGTTTGTCCGGAAGGGTGCCTAGAGTCTGCTGAAGATGCTGTTGTATATGACATAGGCTGTTGTCATGAACTTTGGGGCTACGGAGGAGGTTGCTCTGCATAAGGCATCAGGCGCATCTCTCTCTGTAGCTGATGCAGGTCTGAACTGGAGTCACGGCTGCATTTCCAGCCCTACCGTCTTCACTGCTCGAGGAAGAGGCTCAGGGTAGGAGACACCTGTCAGATGCGTTGGTAAATGAGGCAGGTGAGAAAGCAGTGACCAGAGGCTGAAGCTGTCCCTGGTGTGCAGTAAACCTCTCTGGCTGGAGAGGCTGTAGTAATCGTGCACAGAAAATAAGCAGGCCTGGGCTATGAAACAATATGTAGCTTTAACACTGCTTGTGTAATAGTATCTGTTATGAGGTCCCTTTGCCCTAGTCAGAGCCATGCTGGAGGATGCACTTTGCAGTATCTCTTCCAGAGATCTGCTTCTGAACATATGGGCCCAGTTCAGTTTCCGATGTTTAATATTGCATCATCCTGCAGCCTTCATCCTCCACCACCTTCTCGGTTTCTTAGAACTTGGAAAGGCCACCTTTCCAAAATTTCAGACGTGGAATAAATTGACTGTGTGGCAAAAGGCGGGATTTTTCTCCCTAACTTATGTTTTATTGACCCTCATGCAAATTGGAGGAGCCCTTGTGAAGTCTGTCAAGGTAAGTCAGCTGCCGAGTCTGGGCACCTGAAGGACGGAGCAGACGTAAATTTCTGCATTCTCTGGAAGTGCCTGGCTGAGTTAACGTGTCACCAGATCCAAATGGTTTGGATTGCCTTTTATTTTTAAGCTATTGCAGTCTGTGCAAGCAGCTGTGAGGGAGAGGATGAGGCTGTGGCTGAGCTGAGTTCATCTTTAGGAGTTAGATGGAACTTCTGTGCAGTGGTGTTGCAGGTGAGAAAAGAGGGGATGCAGTGGGATCAGTCTCTCTGCTTGTGACTCACCCCTCTTATTCCACGAGGTAAACACGTAAAGAGCCATTTATTCTTTTTCTGTCTAGACGACCTTAATGGGTCTTTGATATTGCTTCCTTCCCCATCTACAATGCGCTGATGCCCACAATGCTCCTAAGTGGAAGGGAAATTATTCACCAGACTCACCGTGAAGGGCTTGTAAAGCTTTAGATCTGCTGGACGTGTACATGGACTATTTCTCTTTGAAACCCTTTTTCTCTAAGTGCTTTTCATCTAAAGCTACCTCTTTGAAATCCATTTCCTTTAAGTGCTTTTCTTCTAATGCTAAAATTAACTTGACTTTAATTTTAAGATGGCTTCGTAACTGCTGGACGTCCCCAGATGCAGTCCCTGGAGGGGGGAGCTGCAGTTCTGAATGCAGCTGGGTCAGGGGCACTGTGCTCCCGCCTGCCTCAGCCCATGGTGTGTGTCTTTGTGCATCCCGGGGAAGAGCTCTACGCTTCCCTCCCTTCGCCAAATAGTGCTGAGATGTGAAGAATTTCCCATCTTGTGTGAGTGAAATATGGTTTAGACGGGGAAGTTGTTCTGCTTGACGTGGGATATGGCACAGGAAAGGAAGACTGTGCACAGGAAAGATAACAGTACCCAACGGTGTACAAGATGAGGGTACGCCATCTAAGCACCAAACTTTTACAGTTGGCATTTTCCATCTTCAAAATACTTTGCACATAGGTCCTTCTCCTGGGAATGCATCTGTCCTCTGGCCTTCAGAATTTTGACATTTAACGCTAAAATCTGTAGTACAGAAGAGCCCAGAAGTATTGGAGTAGCTATTCTCAGACCAGTTATTATTGCGTTTGCTTGGTCTGATGGCTGACACACTGCAAATCCCTAGAGAACGAGTAACTTGATCCACAAACAGCTTGGCAGAGCAAGAGACAGTTTAAATTTTTGTAGTGGTCAAAGAGAAAGTGCTGGAGAAACAGAATCATTAAAAATGTCAATTCTGGGAAGTCAGATGTTCCTACATTAACTCCAGCTGAGCAAAAGCAATTTATATGCACCAGTAATGAGGCTGTCAGTTTTACAGTCCATCAGCTGACTCTCTAACCAGTAATATTTAGACAAAAAGTAAAGCAGAAGATGATGTCATCTGTGCCTTTATAAAATAGAATTTGATCCTCCAAAAGCGGTTCTGATGGCCTGCAGCTCTGGAGAAGGGAAGTCTGAATATGCTTTGGGATCTCTCTTGGTGTCCTGTTCAAATGCTTTATCTTCAGAGGTTGCCAGTGAAGGACACGGCAGTACTTTGGGACCTCTCTGCATCGTGTGTGAGATGGCTTTGACCTTTGTCCACTTGTTTCGTGATTTGTATGTAGGTGGTGGGTGGTAGGCGAACACTAACTGTTCGGAGAGCATCAGAGGGGCAGGAAACTTGGGGTCTCTGGGAATGAATAAAAATACATAATTTTTCCCTGCTACCTCTTTTGTGATTAAGTGTTTATGCGTTACAAGGAGAACTGCAGTTGGTTTAGATGGGTTCAAACCTAGTGAACAGTTTCTGGGTCCTTTAGTTATTCCTCCTGAATGTTAAAGTAGATGGCCTTTGTTGTACACCTCCATGGAGATCAAGGCCCTCTACTTCTGTGTTGGTGGTGGCTACTGTGACTGTGCTCTTCTCCCACTTCTTAAGAGTATTTATTCTCCTGATGTCTGTGAGAATCCTTATTTTACAAACCATGAGCCAAGACGTAGCAACTTAGCTTGAACTGCTGTGGGAACTTTGTGGTAGAACATGAAAATGTCCCCAGGCTCCCAAGCTATTTGTTAATGCCATAGTGCTTGCCTGTCGTCCATGTCCCAAGATGAAGAACTCCTGCTATCCATAGTAAGGTAGCAGCAGGAGGTTTAGGGCATATTACTAAGCCTTTAATTTTGCTGCTTTGGAGCATGCAGTAGATTGCTTCGTGCATTCAAAACGTATGGAGTTGTTTGGAGTGCCAATGACATTTTCATCTTGAGGCATATAGGGTCATGACATTTTGAATATATGGCTCAAGTTGTCTAAGCAGAGGTTGTTATGGTGGACTTTGGTTCTTTAAGATGTTGACTGAAACCACCAGTTGCTTATCCTAGGCCACCACTAATATGAGATAACAGCAGTAAACAGAAGAGAGACTGATTTGAACCATAAACCTTAACAGAAGAAACTCCATTGTTACGCTCAAAATCTTGTTTTAGGGCCAAAGAGGAGGCACACCTCATATATTTATAAAACCAAGAATTTATTGCTAATACAATTGAAATCTTAAGGGTCTAATCATTATTAGTCCAGATCTAATTATTAAAAGAAAAGAAATAGTAATGCAATTAGGATCGTTACACACATACTTAGTTTCTGTGCTTTATCCTGGTGTTAGGCTTGTCCTTCCCTTGCTTCTGTGGGTCCTAAGGTTGGTGGTTTCATTCAGGGGTTTGTGGTGAATTTATTAGGGTGGGTCATCAACATCTGGAGTTCCTTGCCAGGAGGAATACGATGCTCATGTCGATGGTTTCTTCCTTCTCACTTCAGGGTCCACTTGAAGTCATTTTTGTATGTTTGCTAGCACGCTTTTGCACCTTGCTCTTTCTTCATTGATCTGCAGTTCCATATTACATCTGAATTTACTATATATGGTGGATTTTATGTATGTTAGATGCTATTGTTTGTTCTCTTGTTTACCCTGAACCCATTTTTGTCCAGATCTACAGTTCTTTAACTGACCGTTGGTGTGTTGTTTATATCCACCTGTTTATGGCAATGGCAATACCATATTACAGGGCTATGTGATTATGCTGTAGCTTGTAAGAAGTCATCTGAATTGCTTGGTTCCACAGCATTCATTATAGGTTGCCATCTACCCATGGAAGTATTGTACACGATGGAGTTTGGACCATCCCTGTAGATAGGAATTGAAGATCAGAAAAAATAAAAT